ACCCTCACCCCTGCCTCCCCCGGGCACCTGCCTTCCCCTCAGCCCCACAGCGACGCACGAAGCCAGGTGCAGGGCCCCGTCCTTTGGGTGCGGAGAACCACCTGCCTCCTCAGGCAAGCTCACACACACGAGCGGGGGGGGAGGCAGAGGGACCAGCCCCCTCACCTAGGGTTAGGGTGCTCCCCCGGGATGTGGGAGACCCCGGTTCAAATCCCCCTGCAAAGGGATCTGTCGCCTCTGTGGTGAGACTCCAAGTGCTGGGCTTCGGGGCGCTCTGCCTGCCTGGCTGCACCGTGGATAAATCCCTGAAGAGCTTTGCAGCAGGACCCCGGAGCTCCCCGCTGGGCCCGTGCTCGACTCACCAGGCTCCGGAGGCCCGCGCTTGCCAGCCCAATGGCTCTTGGAGAGCGCGTTGAGCGAGAGCTGGAGCCGAGGCAGGCTCCGAATCTGAGCTCCACCGCCAGGACTGGGGAATGCTGGTCCCAGCAGACCCCCATGGCCCCACCGCTCTGAACCGAGTTTGGGACTTGCCTGTTGCTCCGGGAAAGGCAGGAGCAAGCAAACCAGAATGTACGTGGATCACTTCAGGGTTCCCTGCTCTGTTCCCTCCCTCTGAGGCCCCTGGCGCTGGCCACTGCGGGCAGACAGGACCCTGGGTCTGACCCCGTCTGGCCGCTCTTCTATGGCCCGGCTCGCCCCCGCCGAGCACACAACGCCAGGACACGCTCCTGCCGGCTGGGACGGACTCTCCCACGAGCACAGCCCTGGATTTGGAACGTCAGGGGGCCACGGAGGACTTCAGCTCTGACAGCCCCAAACACAAGCCTCTCCCCCCCGCCCCGGGTGTGCCCATCCCTCTGGGCCAGCTAGCCCGGAGCACTGTGCCGTGTGCGGGGGAGTTTGCATTTCCCCTCTTCCCAAGGGGGGGGGAGGCTTAGCTCCAGCGTGTGCCAGTGATAGAAATGTACATAAATAAGCTGTGATAAATGAGGGCTGCTTCCCAGCAGGGAACATGTTAATGAGCTACAGGCAGAGACGGAAGACAAGGAACCAGGGCCAGCATGTCCCCAGCAGCCTCACGCGGTTGCAACTGAGCAAAGAAAGCCCAGGGGCAGCACATTTAGAGGGTTTTAAAAGGTGCCCCCAGGATGCCTCCACCGGGTAGAACCTGCCCCTAAGTCCACCACTGTCAGAGTGCACCGGGCAGAGCATGCTGGACGGGGGTGGTGGGGCTGGACTCAACTGTACCCCCTGCCTGTGAAAGGAAACCCCTCGAGCCGAGGGGCGCAGCAGCCCCCCAGCACTGGTGTTTCAGTGCCCGTTCTGCTGAAAGCGCCCGGAGGGGCGGCGCCGAGCGGGACTTTCTCCACGCGGCCCGGCGCCGCTCCAGGGCCGCGTGAACAACGCCAGGCTGACGGGAATACCCGCGTGGGGCTGCCGCAGCTGGACGCCGGTCTGCTGAAGGCCCCTTGCTGCCCTGGGCAGGGGGCAGGGAGGGGCGGCACCTCGAGGTCGGGTTTGCAGCCAGAGAGGCAGCCAGAGAGGCAGCGTGCCGGGTGGGCGCCCTGTGGCCCGTCCACACGCAGCCCGTTCCCCACTCGGCTCCAGGGCCGGGGCAGGTCGGTCTGTGTTGGGAGACCCCAGCTCCCAGCCCACTGGTGCGAGGCTGCCCGGGCAGCCAGTGTCCCTTCTCCAGGGCTCTCCTGCCCCGGCCGCCGCAGCCTCCCACTCCCGGGGGCTGGGCAGCGCCTGTCGCACCTTTCCTGGGGGGTCTCGACCCCCTGCGGGCATGGCTGCATCCTCCTGAACTCCCAGGGTCCTCTGGGGCAGGGGGGCGAATCCATCCCCCCGGCTGGGGGCGGGGGCGTCCCCGGGCCG